GATCCTGGGCGCGTGCTCGAGCGTGGCCGCGCGGATTGGGGAAAGGTGATGGGCGCTTTCATTGCATCAGGTGTGGTGCACGCCATTAGCGAGAGGTGCGCTCTGGGTGGACGTCTTGCGCAGCCCCCAGCCCACCACATCCACGCTCCTTCGGCCGGCGTCTTTCGCAAAGCAACGCGTATGGGTCAATCTGCCTCTTTCTGGACAAGCTTTCTTTCACGAGAGCGCCAGATCACAGCTCATCGCACGGAAGCTGAGCAAGCCTTCACCTCGCTAGGCAAATGGTCCCTCAGTCGCATTGTGCCCCCACTCAGCGGCGCGGGAGAGTTTACCTTTTTCTTCCTCAACGGTGTAGCCGTGTGTCTTGAGGGAGCGATCTCCAACTTCGTGCGGGAAAAGCGACGCCGCTCAATCATCGCATGCAAGCGTGCGCAAGGTCACCAAGGATATATCGAGGTCTCGAAAGCAGAGTTGACGCAGTGGTACGACAGCATCATTGGTGTTGTGTGGGCTGTTGCAGTCCTCGCCTACACAGGAGAATGTTTCGTAGAGGGTTGGATAAGGAGCGGTATTGTCGAAGAGCTCACATTTCTGCTGCTCTGATGGAGTGGGGGTCGCAAGAGTATCCCGCCAGCGCCTGACAGAGACAAACATGGGCTTGGAAGGCGACAGCCTTGGAAAACGTCGCCACTCTTCGTCAAAGTCCTTATCTACGCTGATTCAGGCCTGGCTCAGACACCGGTGCTTCTGGTAAATACATCGCTTTCATCTCTACATGGAATCGCACTGCTACTAGACTTTACAACAGTGTCACAACACTGGTGACATTAAAATGTGTATCACCCCGCTTCCACAGCTCAGCACTGCAATAGGACACAACTCAGCTATCTGATTTCCATTCGTAGATCTGTCTGCGGACTGCCGTCAGATGTTCTGCCTCGTGAAACGATTTCGGCCGGTCCCACATGGCTCTAGAGCTGGTCCATGTGTATGTTGACAGCGTCGGAAGAGCGCTCTTGGAAATCACGCAAACCCTGTTGCGAGGCTCCTGGACTTTGCGTACCACGATACGTTAAGACTAGCTTCCGCCGCGCTCGTACCGAGGTGGTCTACCACTCGAGTACCGATTGGCAGGATACTGACGCTGGCGAGGGGGTGCCTGAGGCCCAGCGTCCGATTCCTGATCCAAACGCTGCGCCGGCTGGGTCGAAGCTTCACTCGGCCTACTCGAGGACTCGCCTTCTCTGCCGTAAGCTCTCATCAGTTCACTAACGGTACGCGGTAATGGAGAGGACCGCTCCTGGTGCTGCATGTGGGCAAAGCGCTCCGCAAAGTAACTATTCGGCGTGCTTGGCCCGTGATACGGCATCCATCTATTCACGGCCCAATCCCAGTGAAACCTTTGTTCGGGAAATCCCCTGGGCCATATGACTACCTGCTTGTCGATCATCGTCGGGCGCTGTAGTGCTGCTGCATGAGTAAAGCGGCATATTCACCTCGGGTCACTTTGTCAACTTACATTGTTGTACACGACATTCCGTCCGTGCTGGGGAGGCACAATCCTGTGACCGTTGAGCAGGCTCCAGCCTTCTTGATGATCATACACGTGATGCAGAGCACCCAGTTGGTCCACCATGCCGATGACATAACCCGGTGGGAAACCTGGTAGGCGGTCTCCGCTAAACATGCGACGCTCCAAAGCGTACTTTGAACGCGCCGCGGCGGCTTGAGCGCCAGAAGGGAGCTTCGCCACACCATGGAGGGGGACAGCTAAACAATTAGCACTGCGCCAGTCGATAACACTAGCCGTGAGCAGGATCGCGCGCGCCCAGACTTTCGAAGAGCTTCTGAACAGCATGGCGGGCAAGTCTAGCGGTGCTTGGCGGCGACGAATGTAAGAGGTGGAGGGGGTAACGGCTCATTATATACGCGCTCCAGCATTCTGTGGCGAGTGTGCATTCACATGACTGTCACTGGGGCGCCTATAATCACTCTTGCTCCAAAATGACCCCAAAACAACGGCCTTGCCGTTGCTCTGTGGCGCAAGGCTAATAGTGGCGATCATCGCGGGCAAGCCCGTCTTCCACGGTCATGCCCAACGTAAACTTCGCACAAGTGTACGTCCAGCGGTGCTTCGTCTGAAACAAACGGGTACAGACGCGTATCGTTCTCGCGTCCCTCACCTTAGCTACGTCAGACGCACAAACGCTCCTTCCGCGCCACTCAAAACACCAAGATGAGAGACTCATCACACAAACAGTCCAAGACATAGCCCATCGAGTCTATGTGGCATTCAGACGCGGTCACAGAAGATCCATTGCATGTGTAACAAAATGGATCCCCGCGAGAGCCAAGCGCCAACGATCAGGTCGCCAACAATAGTCGAGCTTTGAGGCGTCCGCATTCCCTTCCATTCCCTTCGCACTCTTTTGCGCGATTGTTGCAGTTGACGTTGCACATTTGGGGCACGTTGTTTTGCCGATCGCAGGGTCGCAATCAGAATTGCTCACATACTGATCTAAGGTGCTGTACGACTTGTACGCTGGCGCGCTATATCGGTACGGACATTGGCGGGATCGAAAGTCTTCAGAGACCTGCTTGACGAGTTACAGCACGTCGAGACGAAGCAGCTAATTGGGGATATTTCATAGTTCTTCGAAGGTGGTGACAACAGTGGTCTATGACCCTTCGGCTTGTAATTTGCACAGCACATCGATGTGTCTCGATTGCGTTTTGAAGCGTACGCGTTTGGAAATGTCAACACCAGACGAAACGTCACCATGGTCCAAGATGACACGTTTGTGAGCTGCCGAGCTGATTGTTAATCGAACAAGATATTCGTGGCGCTCATGATTTCTCCAATCGCGTTCGCGAAATACACTTGAAACACCGGTGTGGGTCAAGGTTGGATCCTCATGGAACCCAGCAAAAGCGCATTGAGACTCAAAGTGAGCGATTTTGCCATCCCCGCTCATTACTTATCATGGCCTCAACGCACTCAATAGGTCGATGCTTTGAAGCAGTTCGAAGACGGTCAGACCGTATTGGGAAGCAACACGATGTAGCTCGGTTTGCTGGAACGCACAGCAGCCTCAGACGTTTGCTCCCGCAATGCGCAGTCTCAATAAGCTTGCGAGAAATGAAAGGTGCACTTCGGTTGACCTCGTGAGCGGAACTTGTGCTGATAAGACACCGGTGGTCTCAGCAGCGTCGACGAGGTGTGCTAGGTACTTCATTCCTCGCCTCTACTCATCGATCAAAAGGGTTCCCAAAAAA